GTTGCAGTCATGAAGAAAACATTTGAGCAAACCTTTAAAGATAATGCTACTGCACATGCTCCCTTATTCCTCAAGTGATTCCAGCTTAAATCCAAGTGGTCTATTGTATCATTAGCAGCTAATAAAAAAAATCAAGTAAAGATCAATACAATGTGACATACAATATACTAGTCTTATAGAACCAAACAACAAAATGTCCCAATTATGCATCACAAGGCTTTTCGTAACTGGGAGGGGGACAGACATTCCCAGCTCCTGCCCCCTTTTTCTTGGCTTCCTTCCTTTAGTCCTTTTTCGATTGCAAAATGTCAAGAACCATTGCACAACTTCCCCCCATTTCTCCCACTTCTCACCCTTTCAGAACTCCTATGCTCTTACCTCTTCTGCCTCCCCTACTCCTCCCACACCTTATTCTTCTGGGCTCCCACCCCTGTCATCCCCCAATTTTTAAAGCCTTCATATCAGCCAGTCTAATACAAGGCAGCATACCATTGACTGCATCTTACTTTCTGTGCAGTTTAACTGAAGTAAAATGGGTGTAGTAAGAACAAAAGAAATCGCCTTTGTGGCTTAAGAGTTTTGCATTCTACATGTACATCTGGTCTGATGGCTTTGATAATGTAAATAAAAGAAGAAATCAAGTAAAAAGTCTCGGAACAGTGAATTGGACACTAGATCTCCTAATCATAGTTTTTCTGACACCATTTTTGTATGCAGTATACTTACATATCGCAGGTGCCAAGTATTGCCCTCCTTTTTCTCCTAGCTGATTGTGACTGAGACTCAAATATTTTACTCTGTTATTATGCTACAAACAAGAAAACAAACAAAAGATAAAATTACTACCAGAAAGTCAACACACTCTTACTATGGAACTCCCAAAACCGTGAACACCAGAAATATTGCTGGAATGTTATTGTGTTGCAAGGGAAGAGCCAATCAGGCATGGGAAAACCAAAGAGCAAGCAGCAACAATAATTAGTTTGTGGTTTTGTAGCTTGCTTGCATGTCCTGTTCTTTGCTGCAAATGGTCTTAACACAATAAACATTCCTACAACTGTAGATGTTCAAGGTTTTATTAGTTTGACAGACTGATAGACACCACTTTGACTGAGGCTACAAAGTAAGTACCTGTCTCAGAGGGATGTATGTACCATTAAGATGTGTTTAGTACATGAAACTCATATACATTGTCGGTTTCTAATAAATTGTAGAATAAAATAATAAAGAAGTGTCAGAAACGCTTTTTATAAACATCATATCACAAAAATATACTTAATAATATGTGTACACGTGAGGGGACTTTGCTTGAGATGATGGTGGTTATATAGTGCAACAGCTTCTTGAGTGAAACAGAGAGGAAACTTACTTGTATTGCTTCAGCTAGTATTTTAACTGCTTTATCATCAAACTCATTCCCTGTTGAAGACAATAGTGTAAAACAGAGACATTTTATTTTTAATCAAAACCATCTACATTGACTCTTTACACCCTTATACACATATACATTTTACAGGTCAAAATTTTTTAACCTAGGTTGGTTCTCAATTTCCTTTGTATCCTAGCCCTAATTATTCATGAATTAGGGCTAGAAGACAAAGGAAATAGAGGATCAACCTCGTTAAAAAATTCTGACCTGAACATAATTTTGAGCTGTAACATACATGATTGTATATTTTTTAATCAATTGCAGCCACCTCAATGACTATCTGAAATGACCTGAAATTCAAGTACTTTTAGTGTCCCTGACTGGCAAGCTATCAGTAACTGGCTAGAGCTTCTTTTGGCTACTGGTAATTTTAAGAGTATCTTGTATCTGTCTATTTTTAGAGTACCATACTTATTCAAATAAAGTCATAAACATTACCATTTGCAGTTAATCTGGTGATATTTGAGTTATGTAGTAGGATGTCTTTGAGTGATTCTGCTCCATCTACTCCAAGTTTATTTTCTGACAAGTCCTTCAGGAGAAAGAAATTATGAAATAAGGATTACTTGACTAACAAATTTGATTCCTGTAATCACAGTGAAATGTGTGTTGAGCATAACTCAAATACAAAACCCAGGTGTATAAGCCCCAGTGTTCACATACAAATACTC